AACGTAAAACAATATGTGAGTGGAACGATAACCGATCTGAACCGGTTGAACGGTTACCGGTTCATACCGGTGAACGGTTACCGGTTCACACTGGTTACCGGTTGAACGGTTACCGGTTCACACCGGTTTTCGGTGGAACGGTTTCCGCTGAAGCGGTTACCGATTCCTACGATCAAGCGGTGTCTAATCGTCACCGTTGCATCCCTAAATGTAATTTAACTCTTGTTGTTGTTGTACGTGCTGTTGTTGTTGTACTTGATGGATTTGTTGTTGTAATTGATCAATTTGGTCTTGGTGTTGTTGTTGTAATTGATCAACTTGTTCTTGATGTTTCTTTAAAGTAATTGTTCGAATTTTTCGTAAATTCTAAACAGAAAAATTATAAACATAACATTTAATTAAAATGTTACTTACTTCTTTATTTTTGTCTGATAAACGTAATGAATTGTTAGAAGTCATCTACAAATCATAAATAAATTGTAGTATTAGAATTTCAGAATAACAAGGTATAGAAATATTAAATATAAATAACATCTTATGGGAGTTTATGGTCGAAGCTGTCTATATTTGAAAATTTGTAAACTAAAAATATTTACTTTGCCTGTTCCCATGAGAGGAAAAATTTATAGAGCGAAGTGTTTTAAAATGGAATGATCAGAGAAATCTGAAAAGACCAAAGATGAAATGAATTTTCGATGAGAAATGTATGTTTTTATGTGAAGAACAATAGGCTTTCTTTTAAATTTTGGTCGTCTTCTCTTTATATTCACCAATCAAAAAATAGTGTACAATGACAAAAGTATCTATCTATGAGATGTCACTAGAATGGCGTCACATATTATGCTATAAATATGAGAATTCTCTTATTACTAGAATTGAATTTCATCAAATTTGATCTATACAAAAAAAAGAAAAAAAAAATTCAATTGAATTGAATAATTTCGAATTTCATTTGGTATGAAAAAGGTCTAAAGAGAGTATTCTGTGACCATATATTTTACTTATTTACATTTGAAAGAATTCAATCTTCAGTGTCTTTGTTCATATAAGTATTTTCAACACGATAATGCTTCACTAATGTCGAATAAAGATAAAATATGAAGAATTAATTTGAATACAACGGCAAGTTTTAAAAATATCTATCATATTACTATATTTTCAATTAAAAATTAGTTCGCTTTACCAATGAGAAAATAAGAATAAAAAAGTTGCCATGGAAATTGGTTTGGTTGTAATGTTTAGGTTACCTTTCTTAGAGATTCGATAGCATGTATTTTATAGTTACAGCAATCGGGACCGGTGTTGGTCAGTTTCTAGGGGTCCCAAGCATCAAATGGAACTCAAAAGATATCCATTGGATAGAGCACGTCAAGATCTACCTGGAAACTCAACGATTAAGTTGGAAAGCACTCTTGAACGAATCACGACAAGTTTTTCGAGAATTGATTGCGTTTTACACGTTTTTTTGATGATATTTTGGGGTTTTGTGGGTTGGGGGGGGGGGGGGGGAAGGTAGGCTAAAGAAAAATAAATGATTGTGGTTGGATAGAGCTCGTCGAGTTCTACTTGGAAAGTGATTGAACTGGTTTGCAAAGGTTTTTGGAGTGAATCCTTCCAGGAAATACTCGAATCCTGACGTAAGATATTTTACGTGCATTAGAAAATGTATAATACAGAACTGTTCACTGTGAATGTGTGTGTTGGAGGGGGGGGGGGGGGGGGAGAGGGAAGGGGAGGGAATATAGTTTCATTTTAAAGTTTATTACTTCCCCTAAAAAATCAAAGCTGCGCCGTCCATGTTAGGTAAGACATTCTAGTAAAAGAAATTAGAAATAAGTTTTACGAAATGTTTGGACATATAGTCAGATATTTCGAAAACGTTGAATACAAGAATTTTCATTTGAAATTTCACTGCCAAATAGATCTAGTTATTGTTGAGTTTATCAAAATAAATGTGTTTTTCTTATTAGAACGACCTTCTCTCTCATAAATTATGGCACTTTCATTGACATGATTTTTCTGCTAATATGAGAATGTAAATATTTATATCTATCAAATATGAAAATTTCTTTCATTATCAATTCAAATCCAGTTATAAGATCATACTCAAATCGATTCGATGCATTTGCATTGAACTCCATCATGTTGAATATAACAGTTCCTACTCTACTCTAAATGTAAAAATCAATTAACTCAACATTCTTACATCTAACTAAAAAACTTTTATTAAGAATATTCTCAATACAAATCAGATTCGAATTGTACGACACTGGTTTAAAATGAAAATTTATTCAACCGAATCCTTATAAATAAATAAAATTTACTTACATAATTCTTTCAAAATAATCTTGAATGACTCCTTGAAAATAAACAATCATATTTCAATAAAAAACTGTTTTTTCTTCTTCATCATTATTATCAATATTATCATTAATTTGTTCTGTTATATTTCATCATATACGAAATCCACAATAATTTTTATCATCAAACTATCATAAACAATGATAAATTGATTTTAATTCAAAACATATTGTTGATGTTAAATCTTTTAATTGTAAATTTAATATATAAAAGTATATCAATAAGTGACAAACGTTAAGTAGCTAAAATAATTTTATTTAAATTTCCATATATTATCGTACTACTAATACGTTGTAATTCAATAATTGTATACTACAAAATTTTAGAAAAAAAAAAATCATTTTATTATTAATTTAAAAATAAAATAGAATTTATTTCTTACAGTAATTTTCTCATAAATTCTTGTATTGTACGTTCAAGTATTGATTCATAAAGAAGACTTCTTGTTGATTGTAACCAACGATAGAAATGACTTAATTGCATATCAGCAAATATATTTCTATATGAATGAACATTTTGTAACCATATTTGAACCATTTGTCTTAGAAAACGTAATGTTGGTAAACATTGTGTTGTTTCATCATAAGCATTTGTTGATGTATTACTTATAAATGGAATAATACCAGAACCACCTAATGGATTTTGTACAGTTGTACCAAAATCTTTAAAATAAAATAAATAAAATTTCGAATTTTTTATTTTTACCGAGATCAAAATTTGATCATTTAGCTTCATGAATTTTTTGAAAATTTAATATAGCACATATAGCTAAATCAACAAGTTCAAATTTAATACATGATGGTGGATAAAAACCTGAATGATTTATTTCAAATGGATGATTTTGTTTATTTATATATATATTCCTTTAGTATCATTTTTAAATATATTATCATTTGAATTTATATGATTAATATATTCATGATTATTATTTATTATTAATATCAGCTGTTAATAGCATAGGATAATCATCTTGTTCTTTTCCATCTAAATCAGATCGATCTGTTAATGAATATCATAATAAATGATTGTGTTTAATTAAATGTCGAGTATAAAATAGATCACATAGAAATAAACATGGATCATCAGGAAAATTTTCTAATGGTATAATGAAGATATCGTCATTGTTCAAACATATTAACAAGTATTATATTTGCATTTGCATAATGTTGTAAAGCATAATGAGCTACTGTTCGTTGTCAATCAAGACTTTTCTATAAATTAGATTTATCTTTTTATTGATAATGTTATTTTTTGGATAATCATTTAATGATGATAACATTGATGATTGAAGATCAAATATTGATATATTTGATTGTATAGTCAAATAAATTGGTAATGAACGAATTGCCATATCATTTTCACGAACTATAATTATAGTTATAGAGAAATTTTTTATTCAGCTTTTCTCTTTAGAATAAGTCTATTTGTAATAGGTTCATCGAAATTAAAATAAATACATCGAAGAATAGCTTGAAATTAAATCTTTCATTAAAAAAAAAATGCGATTTTTTTAATTTGGCATATCGTTTTATTGAAAAATGACTATCATTTAAGGAATACCTTTTTGTTTCTTGGGAACGACTCAGTGAAACTTTCAAGACAGATATATCTCGATAAGTCCAGCGGGTCACAAAAATTTGACCTATATCAGATTGTTCAGTCGAATTTTCATGTATAGTAAAAGAAAAAAAAAAGATGAATTTTTTTTGTAATCCAATTTAGAATTCTATTTATTTAGTTAATTAAAAATTTTACTTACAATTTGAAATAATTTTATTAAATCTTTTCTAAATATTTTCTATATCTGTATCAACTTTAATTTCAAATTGATGTTCATTTATTGGTAATAAATTTGTATCAATACCTTTTTGTAGTCTTTTTTCACATTGATTTTTTAATAATTTATTTAAATTTGACATATGATTTTTCTATAATATTATCTAAAATACCAATAAATACACGACAATTATTTGGTATAAATAAAGCAATAAATAATTTTCCATTATCTTGATATATATATATATATAAATACATTGTAATGTACCAGATTGTAAATATGTTTATTCTGATAATGATAAAAATTCTAATTGATTAAAATGATATAAATTTGAAAGTATATTTGTACAATGATGTTCTTTATGTAATGAACATATACAATCAAGTATAATAAGTAAACGAAAATCTAAGGGTACATTCATTTCATAAACACCTATATTTGAATTACTTAACTCTGTTATTATATATGTATAATAATTATGAAAATGATTTTTATCTAAACGATATTCATATAAATAATAAACTTGTGAACAATGTGATAATAAACGATTAACACGTTTTGAATAATTAGTTATTGTACGTTTATAACCAATTGATCGTTGTATTGATTTGAATTGTTCATGTGTATTATTATTATTATTATTATTATTTTCAATTGATGTACGATAATTAACATAAAATATTCTTGAAATTTTTATTGCAATTTGTACTAATTCATGTTCAACTAAACACCAAGCTTTAAATATACCTATTTGATCAGTTAATTCATATGATATTATTTGCCATGAATGTGTATGTAAATGTTCAGCTGCACGACGTATATATGTATCAATTTTACTATCAGTTGAAGGTTTTTGTTTTGTTATTAATTGAATTTTATCTGATATAATTGATGATTGATGTCATTGTTCATGTTGTATATTCCATTTATGTTTTTGATAATTAAACCATTTAATATATTGATTTGTTGTTTGATCAAATGATGGTGGTGGATCAAGAATAATTCTTCATTGATGTGTTATTGTTTTATTATTTAATTCATCACGTTTACATTTTAATGTTTTTGTTTTTGTTTTGTTTTTATTAATTTTATTGATGATTCAGTTTATTTACCTATATCTTCAATATCATTTGTTTGTTAATATTAATTGTTGTTAATTATTATCTATATAAGTTTGTTTATTAATTGAATTAAATACATCAGTTATACGTTTTTTGTTTATAAAGTTTGTTTTTTTTTCAACTAAACGTTTATGTAATCAATCAGGATGTGGAACACGTTATATTGGATTACGAATATTTTGTAAAGCAGCTGGAATAGTTATTATTTTTTGTATACAACTATTAAAATGATCAATATAATAATTCCAATCAAGAATTTCACGTATATCAATATTATCAACAATTGATAAACGTAACCATTTCATTCCATTCAGCAAAAAGAACTGATTTGCGTGTATTTACACATTATTCTTGATCTTTTTCGTTAACCGTAAAAGTTTTGTGTCCTATAGATAAAGGACTATCCTAGGAATAAGACAAGTTGGCTACCGGCAGCCCAGGGGCGCCTCCCATTGCTAGCATGAGCATTAGGACCCTGTAGCTATTTGAAATAGCTCCGGCAGGCGGACATAACCATTTACGTACATAATGATTACGTATAGATTGTTCTCATTTAAATATATCTAATAGAATAGTATGTTCAGTAATAGATGTATCACGTGGTACATTAGCTATAACAAAACGACAATAAAGACCTTTATCTTTAATAATATCTTCACCAAGAAATTCAGCAAGTTTAAAAAACAAAAAAAAATTTTCAATGAATTATTCAGACTTATATAATTAATAGTATACATTCAAGTTGATCTAGTAAAGATTTATTTATGAGGAACAAGTTGAGGTAATAGTTCGCGTTTGCGATGAGACCACAGTCATTACATAGGGTCTACTGAGACTAGAAAAAAATCTAGAAGGATTCTTTTTCATACGCTGCTCTTTTTAAGTTATGACTATTACACTGGACTTTTACCTTTAGAATGGTATTTAAAAAAAAAACCTAAAAAACGAATTTTGGCCTAAAACTTTACCTATAGACAGCTGTTGGAGTCATTAGAATCTCCTAAAAATTTCAACCAAAAAATAGTGCTCTCTTCTTGGCATATGAAATTCACAAAAAACAATGATATTCCACAAAAAATAGAAAAAAAATCTAGTCTTTTTTACTATGAACAAAGTTTTAGGCCAAAATTCGTTTGTTCGACTTTTTATGAATACCGTTCCCATGATAGAAAATCTAATATAACAGTCATAACTTCAAGTTGGCCACAAGATTTCATCTCTTCGTTAGTACTTTTCACGAGATTTAATCTATTTGTGATTGATTGGATGATCCGATATATAGACCAGAGATAAGACCGGTTCAGCTTCAAAAAACATGAATCGATCCCATCTCTGACATGAGTGAGAATTAGTCAAAATGGGATATGAACATCTTATTTTTGACTTTGATTCTTTAAAAGCACTAATTTTTTTTTTTTTTTTTTTTTTTTGAGTAAGTTCTTTTATTCATTCATGAACATATGTGAAAGTATTAGCTCTTTTAATTAGAGCCTGTCGAATTGGTTCTGGACAAATCCGACGGGACATGCTTCAAAAGTAGCAGCCAATGATGATTTGATGATATTAGGATCATCGTTAAGATTATCTGAACAATGCGTTAAGTAATTTTACCTTTTAGCTGTCGAAATTGATGTTGATTTTTGTTCTCCATAATCTGATAACATCCTTGACATAGTTCTTCGTTCTGATATTAATTTAAATAATTCTTTATCTGATATATCTTTTACATGTGAATATAACATATCAAGCCAATAATCAGCAATAGTTGCAACATGATTATAACATTCTTCAAGTGTTGTTTCTTTAAGAAATGCTTCAAAAACACTTGCTTGAAATATTTTTATTAATTGTAATTCACCATTACGTTTTACTTCAAAACCTTTTAATTTACCTATAGTACCATCCATATTAAATATACAATAACGTTTTTCTTTATACGTTTTCCTTCTTCTTTTGATGCTGGTAATATCATAGCTAAATAAGGACCATAAATTAAAAAAAAAAAATTGAATTTTCTGAACGAATTTCATAAATGTGTTTATCTTTATCAACTAATTCATGATATTGATCATTTGTATAATGATCCTTAATGATTAAATTTAATAAACTACATGGATAAGATATAACAAATTTTGGACGTGATGGATCATGTATTATTAATTCATAATTTTCAGGAAATGTTGCTGGTAATACACACCACATACCATCTTAAATAAAAAAAAGAAAAAAAAAAAAAAGTAATTTGTATGAAATCTATTGATTCGTTAATATTAACTAGTCATTTGTCTGACTTGTTAATCAAAAGTATAAACGTATGAAAAATTAGAAAACTGTTCCCAAAAATCTATCGATTCATAATATTTTCAAATAAATTTTTTGGCCAAAAAAGCCCAAAAATATTAAATAAGATAAAAGTTGCAAATTGATAATGTTTAGAATTTACTGTTAATCTTCTATTGACCAGTTCCCCGACAAACCACAAGAATCAATGCATGTCATCCTGTGCTACTAGATGGGTAATGCAAGACAATCAGTTGTTCATGACTATCAGCAGAAATGCTCAGATACAAGTACATGCAAAACAATTTCTATTTTAGTAAATTACCAAACTATTTTTGAGATAATGTTAGTCACGATATATAGGAAGAATAGAAAAATTTTACCTTCTATTATTGTGAGTTTATGTTTGAAAAATTAGATATCTTATTGTATCAAGTTCAAGTGGTCGTTCAATTTGTTCAACAAGTTCTCGAGTACGTTTGATAATAATTGAACCTGTTGTACATACATTACCATCCATTTCCATTCGATGCCAACGAGCACCTAAATTAATTGTAAAAAAAAAAATTTATAATTTATTTAACATGTCGAAACATTTTAAACAAACCTCTTCGCATAACATAACCATAAAATGAATTAAGAATACATTTATATGCAAATTGTAATGAATCCTAAATATTCAAAAAAAAAACATACATGATCAAAAGTAAAGATAATAAAATTTTAGCTTTACATAAATAACAATTAAATTATTACAACGTTTAACTTCATTAAGATCATTTTTTTTTGCTGCATTTCCTAATTTTTTTTTCCGTTTTTTATGTAAACTTTTATATGCATAACATCGATCACGAAATGCACGAACTGCATCAATATAAAAAGAATTTTCACATTGACATACAGTTGTTTCTCCTCGTGTATGATCTTTTCTTTTTTTAATATGCTTTACGACAATAATCAGCTAAATGTTTACGTTCAATTGATAATTGAGTTTCTTGTGGTAATTCATGAAATGATAGAGTATTATTATTATTGTTAGCTAAAAAGAAAAGACAATTTTTACATATGAGGATTATTGAACAGTCTGTTTATTCTATCTAATTGGTTTGTGAAAGCTACATTTTTTTAGATCGTGTAACCTGAGTTGTATATATGGGTTGGAACTATTGAACTCTGGAGGAGTTGAGAAAAAACTTCTATAAAGGACATGAACCGATACGACTCTATCAGACGACGTGTTGTTTATAAGCTTATCTACAGTTTAGAAACACAACGATATATATATCAATTATCTTGAAAATAGTGTAAAATAGATAAACTCTTAACTGACAATCGTTCAGCTTTGTGAAATATTTCGTTTTTCAGTTAAAGAAAGCCCCATAGAATGGTATTTAAGCATGTCTATTTGCCAATTCCTGAACAGCTATGTCTTATTATATGTAGATGTGTACACATTTTTCGACTAACGAAAGAATTAAAAACATATAGAACAAACGAAATTTGATATATCTAAGAACTCTATTCAGTAGGAAGAATTTTTGTTTTATTTTCTACCTGTATTATTTGTTCCTTTTTTGATCTATCTATAAATGATTTTTTTTGTTCAATTGATTGTCCATTAAATGAAAATCGTTCATTTTCAAGTTGTAATTGAATACATTGTAATTCATTACGTCTAGCAGGAACATATGTTCCACGCCATATTCAATCCATTTTACGTTGACAACGTGCATTTGGATGATTTAAATTACATTGTGCACATATTGTTGAATTAACAACAGCTGATGATCGTAAACGATTTGTTATAATTATATTTGGATACATAGCACCAACATCTAAATAATATATATTTAGATTTTCAAGACGATTAGGAACATTTTTTGAATGTTGTAATCGTTGAAGAATATCTTCTTATATTTCAAATAAATTTTCTATTAAATCTATTGATAATTTTTCTTCAATTTCAATTGATTGTTGAAGTGTTCGATCAATATTATCAATTAAATATTCAACTGTTTCACTAAATTCGTTTTTTTTCTCGATATATAGAATAAAACAAGAAATAAATAAAAACTTACGGAACAATTTTAAATCGACATGGTATATCACTACGAAAAACATCTGATTCAAATACTTCAACACTTATACCAACATAAGTTTCCGAAATAAGTAAATGACTATCATCTGTATATTTATACTGTTCATCTTCATGTTTATTTGGAAAAATAACATCAGCCATAAATGCTTGTACCATTAATAATGTTTTACATAATGTTCCACAATCTAAAATGGTCTCATTGGAATAATTGTTCTAAGTGTAAAAATAAATGTATGAACATATTTCATATATAAACAATATGTGGCTACAGCAACTGATACAGAATAATTTGATAATGTTTGTGATTGTTCAACAGCTAAACGACGCATATCTTCTGGATTAATTTCAATTGAATTATAATGTAATTTAGCTTTTGTTACAGCTTTAAGATCATGACTACCAACAGGTAAATAACTATCACGTTTAACCCATTTAATACAATCTATATATCAGGGCTGGGCGAGTCCGAGTCATGACTCGGACTCGAGTCGACTCGA